CATGAACACCGCACATACGCAAATGGAAATCCGTTCGATCGATTAAATTCGGCCAATTAGTATTGCTAACGAACGATAATCGAAAACTACATTGGTCTGTGCATAATGGGGTATTCAAGCAGGGAATTGAACAGGGGTTCAATGGTGGGACAAAAAAATTGAATGGAAATTGTCTGTGTATGGCCACCTTAAGACAGCACTCACCGAGCTGGGTATGGACATCCTAAATCCCTAACCTCTCAATAGTAGTTGAAATAAAATAAAATAAAATATTTGCATATTCTACAAACATTAAAAACTATTTAAAGCAAGCCCTCATTTATTTCTGTAGCTATTTACAGGGAATTGTAGGGAAATTCAACTTCAAAATTCACAACACGTCTTAGCTCTTTTCCTATTACTTTATTGGCAGAAGAGTCTTTTAATGTAAACACACAGCAGGTATTTATAAACTGTTATGAGCCGACTAAACCTGACTAGAATCTTTATTGTGATATTTGGGGATCTTTAAGAATGAATAACTTCACAGAACGTACAGCTAGAGAGGTCAAGAATGGCTTGTTTTAAAGCCCATTTACTGTTTGTTAGGTATATTTAAATAATTTAATGTATGTAGTCTGGGCATAGGTGCACTTTAAAGTGTATTTCCACTTTTGTGAGCAATTTGGGCTAACACCTACTTTATATTTGTTACATGTTCCAATTTACATGGTACAGCTAAAAAAATAAAAATAAACTTTGCTCCTTACCTTTATTAAGGCTCTGTTCTGAAAATGTCCGGACTAAAAAATCCTACTTAGAGCTCCCTTGCTATGTAATGTCTATGAGGGGGCATGGGAGATGTGTTTGCTATGATTAACCCTGTCTGTACTATGCAAGTAGATTTAATTATCAGTTGTTAACTAGATGCATGACGGTGTGTCCTAACAGAGGTTTAATATCTCATTTAGCATACAAGATATTATATGCGAATGGACTGGCTCTCAGTCATGTCCCTCCAGTGTGTCAATAATCTCCACACTGCCATCTTTTCAAAGCAGTATAAGATGCCCACATAGTCCTCTGTAAAATCCTGCTCCAAAGAAACAACTAAAAGGGTAAGAAATATTATAATTTTTTTAATTATCGTTAGGTATGCAGTGTGAATGAGAACACATAACAAATATAAAGTGGAGATTTCTTAAATTTGACAGCAATGGTGGAAATACATTTTACAGCTGAACTCCAATGTTTTAAAATTTGATAGAATGGGAAGGTTTAGAACCTCTGTCAGGTTGTAATTTTGTACCTGTCAGGACTAGCAGTTATGGAAAATCTATTCAAATATGTTCACGTGCCTTTCAAACACATTTTTAGTAGGGCAAGAAAGGGTTACAACTTCTGCAGATATTTTTATTGCTGTGTGTGCCTTCCTGTCCCAGGGACAATCACACCTGATTACTTATACCTCAACTCTGGTACACATAAGGAAACATTTCCCCAATGGGCCACAGACAGAAATAACAATGACAACAATTCTGACTCTTATCTAGTCTATCCAAAACAAACAAAAAAAAAGAAATTGGATGAATTAGGTTTTCAATAAATGTATACCCCAGTATGTCCACACCCAGAAATAATATTTTAGTGGAGAACTTGTGTAAGCAATCATGAACTAATAATATTACTGACAGAATTATTGATGCCTGATTCAGGAAGCACAAATTAAAAATTGATATACATCTTATAAAGAATATTCATGCAACTGAATGATGGGTATGATTGATCCAGAATATTAGACACACTGCAGTGAACATTTTTTCCCTAGGTGTAACTAATTGAAATAAAGTAATATGTAGGGATAACATTCATTAGCTCTTAAAGAGGTCACTGTACTCCCCTGACATCACCTTGCTGTGTCCTGAAAAGGCCTGCCCCCATCTTTGTTCTGGAATAATTTAGGGTTGACATCTTATTCATGGACTAAGATGCTTACCCCGTGATGATGTCATTATGTAAAGTTAAATGCCTGTAAAGTATCTTTATATTCTAGGTTGTGTGTACACATAATGTCCCACACATCTCATTAACCAACTTGTACATTTCTTGTTATGTGTGATGGATCCAGATGCAGTATCATTGAAATTGCAAGAGTTACTGTATCATCATATTGATCATAATACTTCCCTTATCGAAGACTGATACGTCTTAGATGTTTCTAAGATTGGAGGGATATTAAGGGTGGCTTCACCTATGTGTGCACATTTTACAGCATTAGCTTTTGCTATTATGCACATTACATGCAGTACAAAAATGGTTTTTTTATGTGCTTGTCATTGTGTTGTCATTCATTTTCAATATACACAATAATTAGTCACCAGCACACCGAAGGTCTACTTTATTTTTCCATCTGTATTCGACGTCTGACAAACATGGTATCTCATGCAACGTTTTGGAGCCATTCATCGGTTCTTCATCAGGCAAAGGGACACTGTTTTGCCTGATGAAGAACCAATGAATGGTTACGAAACATTGCATGTGATACCATGTTTGTCAGATGTCGAATACAGATGGAACGATAAAGTGGAACTTCAGTGTGCTGGTTACAAAGCACCACTTATTCAGCACCCATTAAAATACATTTACTGGGATTCAGTTCTGGAGTGAAATGTGACATTCTAAACCTTTATTTTCAATGGCACACAAATTAACCTGCTTCTCAGTACATGGTACTGCATGTAATAAGGAATACATGCATTGCCTTTGGTGCACTAAAAAAAATGAGCCAGGTGCATCTTTTGTTGCATTGGTGAGTATTGAGGGCCTATTGAAAATGAATGGGCAACAAGCTGAAATATGTTGACAGGTCAACAATTAAATATTAATTAAACCTTAATTAAATATTAAGGTATCTGGGAAAATGCTCAAATAAGTGTAAAGGGGCCCTGAATGTTTCCCTTGCAATGTTGTATACCGATATGCACTCCTTACAGCATCTACGACCAAAAATAATGTTGGAGCTTGTAGTGATAATCACAGATGGTGCCGTGCACATCAATCAGTAGGAAATTAAGATCACCAGCACTCAGAGGATGATGTACAAAACTGTGTGTTCATTTATTCAAACACATGGTCACATATATCACAAAGCCAACGTTTTGGGGCCACACGGGGTCCCTTCACCAGGGCAACAAAGTGACTTAGAGTGTTGGTGATCTTCTTTTCCTACTCCCTTGCAATGTTATCTCCTGATTCACGCACTTACGAACTTTGGCTGTAATGATTAGTGTAGTGCTTTACCTACTTGTAACAGGAAAAAGATAAAGTTATTAAATATACAATCTGCAGTGATTCTGTCAAACTAAACACTGCAGAATTGTAAAAAGCATTACAATTAAAGTATAAAAATTTAATTTCTGATCTCAGTGTAGACACATCACTTGCAGCTCTCCATATTCTCTTAACTTCCCCTAAAAAAAAACAATGTTATAATTGTAAAAATAATAATCCAGATTTCCCCACCTATAAAAAGTTTATTAGACTGTCCTTTTCTCCTTTTAAAATTATTGTATGTGTTCCTGATGCCTATCTTAGGAATTTATTTAAACAGTACAATTAAAATGTAGCTGGAGAATTAGGAAGTTCCTGACCTGCAGTGGTTTAAAGGCCATAAGGGACTCCATGAGTTCCCTGCTTACATCACAAGCTATGATTAGGGGTAACCATGTACACAGCTAGTGAGGTAAGCAGGAAATTCAGCTAGTTTATATCTATAGTGGACCCAAGACATCTCTTATTTCCTAGGTAGAACTTTGGGTTTACGGACCAATTGTTTTTTTGAAAACCCACTTGGTAATAAGAAACCTAGATGTAATAAAATTTAACTAAAAAAGTCCCCTGCAGTGCCCTCACTAAAATGTAGTTCCTCCAGCCCCCTGCATTGGCCCCTGCTGATTTGAGGTATTGCACTGCAAGGAGCTGAGTGGGAGATAGCACTGTTACTACTTGTAGTGCCCCCCCCCCCTCAAGACTAGAGCTCCCCAATTCAGATTAGAACTCATCCTATTGAGTTCTAAGCTGAATTGGGGTATTCTTTTGGGGGTATTCTACAGGGTATTCTTTTCCGCTGGTCAGTGAGAGGGAATGTTTCCTCTCACTGACCAAAGATACCAGGATGTTCTTCCTCCCAGTGACGACCAATGACAGGGTGTTCTTCCTACCACTGATCAACACCCAGGTCATTCTTCACACTGACCCTGGGACATACTTCGTTTTAATCACCACTCCTGGGGCAATGTTTTCCCTCCACTGACACCCTTGCATTCTTTGTTTTGCTTACCACCAGGGGGTTTTTCCATTTCATATAGTACTGACTGCATCACTGTGGACATGCTTTTGATTGTGTTGGTATTGTTACTGATTGTGTCTCTGTGAGCATTTTTTTGTTCTGTCAGCATGGCACTGATTGTGTCCCTGCAGCAGTCCTTGAGTATATCTTTACAGTACTTATATTGTCTCTGAAGGTATATTATTGGTATTGGTTGCATTATTTTTGTCTTGATTCAACTTCCTTATGTATGATCATAATCTTGTGTGTCTTATATTATTATAACTCTTGGCAAATTTGTTGTACTGCTGTATGCTGTGTGTGTTGGGGGGTTAATCACAAAAGGTAATGGCCTAAGGGAGAAAAAAATATAAATCCAGCCCTGCTTGTAAAGTTACTTATAGGTCTGCAACAATTAGTTTTTCTCTGTCAGCTTCGCTTTTGTCTTCCCCTGGATTATTTCAATGAGAAGCTACTACAAGTAGAGCTTCATAAAATGTATTTAATCTACACAATCGTTGAACTGGCACTTACATCAGTGAAGTCAATAGTTGCTGGTGCAACTATCAGTGACATAAGTACAAACAGTAACACAAAATAGATACTTAATTCCTGAGGAAACAACAGGTATAACTGCTTAAAGAGAATTTGTCCTTTTCCCAAACCTTTCTCACATGCTCATGGTTTAAAGCAAACAAACACTTTTTTAATAAACTGCAATGACAATCATTAGATATGATAAAAAAATAAACTGATCTGATTTATTTAGTCATTTATTTTGCACGTGAGTGACTTTTTTGGAAATATAAACTCATTTGAACTTCTTGACAGTGTACAGCAAAATACATTTTAGGTAGATTTATTACTTAAACAAGCAAGAAAACATACATTCTCTGTGCTTAATGCAGTAGGGGTGTGCATCAACCATAATTATAAATACTGCCTATATTTTCATACCCACATATTAAAACGTATGTCAAACCCTGTGTTAAGAGACAATATGACTTTCCTGATAGTGCTGCAATATCTTCTGACTGCAATAAAAGGCAAGTGCCAGTCATTTAAAGGGCACGTCAGTCCATCACACATCCATCATACAGGTGATACATTAACACATACATCATTTAGCTGGAATGATTTGGGAAAATTTACGAGTGCGGCTTCATATTGATTGGAAAACATTGGTGTAGATTTTGCACACTCCTGCACACCACATTTACCAAGAAAGCTGGAGATGAATGAGCCACTTGCACATGGTGACACATCTTTAAAGCATTTCTTTAAAATCATATTAACCTTTTTTTTCTCTACAGAAATAAATTACAAGCATACGCATAGACACATCAATACTAGTGACATAAAACATAGCAACTGTGCACACCCCTACAGTGTGCATTGAAAGAATTCCACAGACTCTTCAAAATGCCCAAAAAAAAAAAGAAGGCAATGGTGTGAAGGGAAAAAAAGAAATAAAAACATGGAAACAGAAGTCTAAGTTAATTTTCCAATCCAGGTGTCAATTGTAAGCATTGTTCTGAAGATGAACTCTTTGCATTTGACAGGGGTGAATATTTAAGCAGCATCATTGCTAGAGTCATAGCAGTGAAATGCAGCGCTGAACAGTAGGATAGCAGTATGTATTGATGTTTGTGCTCAGCAGCATTCATGAGTCTGACAACTCAGGATAGGGAGTTTCAGGCAGTGATTCTTTACAATATCGACTGGGTTCTGCAGACAAAAGGAAAACATTCATAGAATTATTGATAGAGTGTCAAAATGGGCTATATAGAATAAAAACCAACTACGATTTATTGGGAATTCATTGCTAAGTGTGTTCATACACTGTGAATTGATGTGATGAATATTGGGTCCAGTTGAAAGTAAATGGCTGCTTACTAACTGGCTTCAACAGCCAAAATAATAATGGTAAAAATGATCTAATTTGAACCATAATAGCACACTAAAGGCAATTTTATTGCAATATGCTGCCACAGAGGGCATCAAGCCATGGTGACCCTGTGGAACCTTGCTGCAGTACATTATCCACCTCATGCTAAGTAGATGCTGTATTAAAGTATATGATGTTACATCAGACACTATGAGATGCCCATGCACAATGAGGGGTTAATAAAATAGATGCACAACATTTTCTCAAAATAACTGCTCAAACTCAATATTAACACTCATGATTAAATAAGATATTCTTTTCTTGCAGGAACGACTTTTAATGCTACTGATTGTCATATCGGTAGCATCATTTTATATGATAGATGCCTAATAAGCTAACCATCCTCTAATTGAAATAGATCAACGTCAGTTTGTCTATTGAACCTCAATTAGATGCTTCATCAGCAAATTGGTTAACTCAGGTTGAACTCCATTAACTGGAAAACAAATCTGCTGATCGATCCAATAAACACGGTAGACACAAGCACATCTCAGAAAGAATTTTCCAAAAGCTGCATTTCATCTGCTATGGGAAAATACAAAGTGAAGGTAGTAGGCAATACGTGGTCCACCTACCACAGATCAGGCATACTCATATACAGGGGACACGGAGATGCTGCTCTGCCATCTCATACCTGACCTCACCTAGTTATCCTCTGTTATCTGCAGTCAGAAAGAAGGGGAACTTACCTGTGACATCAGACCCAAGCAAGTGCATTCATGTAGAATTAAGAAGTACATGGTGGCTAGATTCATGAGGAGCAGCTACAACGATGTATCAGTTTGTGAAAAGCTTGTTTGAAGTCCTCATTTGACATTGTATAGATGATAGGGTTTATTAAAGAGTTAACGTATCCAAGCCAATTGAAAAAGTCAAATATAGCAGGGTGAAACCAGCAAGCTTCTTTGCAGATGGGCATAACCAGTGAGATGATAAAAAATGGTAACCAGCACACGATGTAAGCTCCAAGTATAATTCCCAAAGTCTTGGTAGCCTTCTTCTCCCTGGCAGCCATGATCTTCTTCTTTTCTAATAGAGCATCGGACACTTTCACTTTGACTGTATTCAGGTATACAGGAGAACCTGTGTCACTTGACAGTTCTGCAGCCCTTGAATTGGTGGAGGACACAGAAGAAGAACCTGGAGAGTCCGTAATTAGGTGAGCCCTTGTCAATCTTTTGGCTGTGCTCTTTGGAGATTGTTTCAGAATTCTAGACCTGGCTTCTACATAAATTCTCCCATAAAGGGCTATGAGAAGTAATGTAGGGATATAAAATGCCCCAACTGTAGAGTACACGGTATACAAAACATGATCTGTATTCACAGCACACTGAGTGAGCTCTTCCACTTTTGATTGACGCCAAAAAAGTGGGGGCATGGAAATCGATATTGAGAAGACCCACACTAGAGCTATCATAATGACTGCCCTTCTTGGAGTCCTTTTCTTGGTGTATTCAACTGCATCAGTGATAGCCCAGTATCTATCTAAGGCTATAACACATAAATGGAGAATAGATGCAGTGCAACAAGTGATATCAGACGATAGCCACATATCACATATAACCTGCCCCAAAGTCCATTTGCCAGTTACAGTATACATGGTGCTGATTGGCAAAACGAGAATAGACACTAAAAGGTCTGTGAATGCCAACGATGCTATGAGATAGTTGGCAGGGGTGTGCAATTTTCTGGTCTGATAGACTGTTGCAATGACAAATGCATTGGACAACAAAGTGGCCAGAGTAAAGAGAGCCAATATGATAGTAAGGACGATGCTCCAGAAGGACAGCTCAAACTCCTGCCCGTGGTTGTCCAGACTTGCAATGCAACTTGTTCCATCATTGGAGTAATTGGTTTGGGAGACATTCAGATCGTCAGCGATCGGTTGACACTGGCTTTGTGGTTCCATCACGGAGTTTTGAGCATTCAGGTAGCTTAATGCATAAAGGAAACCTCCAGGGGATGGAGAGTAGCCGCAGGGAGCAGGACACGTTGATGCCCCATCATCTTGAAACGAACATAAGGTTGGAAATCCCTGATGACAGCACAGGTCCTTCAGAAGTGGATGGTGTGACCAAATTGTGCTTTTTTTTACACCGTGCTTGGTGATGGCTCATGGATCCACAACTTTAATAAAACAATGCAAAAAAAATAGAACTCAAATCTCCAAATGCTGAATAAAGCAAGTATCAGTCTGCACTAATAAAGCAAATCCGATCATCCATCCATATTACCGGTAATTGCAAACAGCATCAAGAAATCTAGTACACTTGTCATCTAGCTGATTCTGATTTAAGTTAACCATTCAATGCCTTTATATCGTTAGCACACAAACTGCTGTATAAATAAAAAAATAAAATAATGGCATTATTGCTCTATAGAACGTAATATTGATGGAGACCTCAATAATCACCTCATCTGTGCTGGTAGGTGTCATTCTCAGGCACAGAGGACATCCATTGTTACATTCACAAATGATGCTGTCGTCCTTAGCAGTGTTGGCTTCTCCCCAAAATAAAAAGTCAGCTCTCCTGGTTCATTCAAGCTGTCCTGCAGGGATTACTTGATGGCTATTGCCTTTATAATATGCATGAAAGTTGTTATTGTTTGGTGCAGTCCGAGCAGGCAAAACTTATGTGGAAGTGGGAGGCAAGGTGAGGATTTCTTGCAGACTTTGAAAATAGTAAATGGATCATTGCCCTGGGTGACAGCAATGCATGTGCTTGTAGGAGAAGCCTCAACTTCTAGGGAGCTTCAGGTATCCTCCTTCTCTCAGCTCCTCTGCGCAGCCAAGTGACCCAGGCAGTCCATGGTAGTAGTGCTGAAAGCTGCCGTTCATTCTCCCCTGTCTTGTCTGTGCTCTTTTATTCTCAAGCAGCAGCACTAGTACTTCTCCTGGTGCTGCAGCTGACATAGAGGCTGATGTAGAAGGGGAGGGAAGGGGGGGGGGGGGGG